GAATTGAAGGAAAACAAACATGAGAGTCAAATAAACAAAAGAACTAAAATTCGTGGTGTTACAGAAGAAAGAAAGAAAGGGTTGAGTTAGACTTGTGGTTCTCAACCAGAGGTGTCCCCCCTCCCATTTCCGTCCCCTCTGGAGGACATCTGGCCCCGTCTGGAGCTTTTGTTTGTTTGTCACAACTTGGGGGGAAGGTGTTACTGGCAAGAACTGGTTAGCCACCAGGGATGCTAGCAAACATCCTACAACGCACAGGGCAGTCCCCACAACAGAGAATTATCCAGCCCCAAACAGGCCTGTGGTTGAGAAACCCTGAACAAAATAGTGGCATTGGTGCCACTAAATTTAGGTCAGGTGGTCACAGAAGACTCCGCTGAGAAACTGACATTCAGGTCAAATGTTGACTGGTGAGAAACAGGCAGACAAGCAGCTGGTGCTGCGGGACCACTGAGGGGAGAGCAGACTTGAAAACAACAAATAGCAGTGATAAATCCCTTCCCTTGGCGCGTGGTATACATATGTGCATATGGAGAGTGAAGGGCTCGGCGAAGTGGTCTTTCCTATTTCCTTTTGTATACCTCTTTCCTGCTTTGGTTTTTGAGAACAGCCTCCCACCTACCCATTTTTTTGTAATTTAAAAAAAAAAAAGAGGATAGGAAAACACAAAAAGCAGGCGAATTGGAAGAGAACCTTTTGTAAAACTCCAGGCAGATTTCAGAGAAGAGACAGGTTTTAGAACAATCTGCAGGTGTCCAGGTGGCACTGGTGTCAGAATCTGGGGTCAGTCTCTGCCTTCCACTGCCTTCCATGTCCACCCGCCTTTCCACCAAACTGTGCCAGAGAAGAGCACTGGATTTAAAGCCAGGTCATTTATGTCCAGTACTTGGCTTTATCCTTTTAGCTTTGTTACATTTGGATGTGTTAAGTTATCTTGACTTTAGGGGAAAATAATAACCTACCTTACTAGTTTGGGTATTAAATGAGGTCATTTCAATTAAGGGTTTCATAAACTGTAAAGCACAACACGGATACAGGGTGTTGAGAATAAAGAGAGTCAAGGCCGCGCTCAACAAATTATCTTTTTGCTTTGTGCCCCTGAGTTCAAATCCCCTCTAGGTAAAGAGAAATGAGGGCTGTGCTAGAGGGAAAAAGGAGGGGGAAGGGAAGTGCAAGCAGGGAGAAAAGTGATGACAAACACAAGCAGTAGCACCAGCAGCGTTATTCCTGTAACTAAGGGGGGGAGAGTCCTCCTGATGGGATGGATAAAACCACAAGCTGGCTGCAGCTCAGCCCCAGGCCCTTCAACAGACAATGGCCAACTTCTCCTTAAGCAGCCCAAGACCCCCTGACCTGAGATGTGAAGAGCTGGTTATAGAACCCTTGTGCAGTGCCTGGGGCCCGGCTGTCTGTGTGTTTTATAAAAATATCTCTCCCCTAGACCAGAAGCAAAAGATCCAGTGAGTGTGAGTCATGATTCCTCCCCTTAAGACAGTGCCGGGTGGAAACCATACTTTACCAGTGGTCGTTGAGCAGAATGAAATAAATACTTTCTCAAGTCACTTGATGGACCTAGTATCAAAATGATAATGATAATAATGACTGCATGTATTGATACCCTTTCCTGACCTATTTGCCTTTCCAACTTTCTTTTTGAGTGTTTGCCTTTGAAGGGTTTGTAGCTAGGAAAAATAACTTATACAACTCAGTATCTTTTCTTGGCCTTGAGGCAGCCTGAGAAGATAAGACAGCAATGGAATGATGTGTGCCCTGAGGGAAAAAAATAATGGTGAAGAACGTTATCAGCGCCTTTCTCAGGCTCCAAACCGAAGATCACTTTTCACTGGTGCAATTTTCCAATATAATTAACATTCATATGAATTCAGCAAGTAATACATAGTAAATGTGAATCCACTTTTTTTTTTTCCTTAGCACTGGAAAGAATCTTAAGTCATTGGATGGGTTTTACAGAGAGGCCCTGCCTGGGACATGAAGGGACTCAGAGAGCCAGAACTGAAACTTGTTTTTCCACCTTGAGAAAAGTAAACAAAAATATCCTAAGCAATTGCTGGTTTTTCGAGCCCACTCTTCTGGGTTGTCTTCCTTGCCTGTGTTATGCGGGCTCCAGGCACTTTCTTCCCAGAAAGGATCAACAATCCAAAGGGTCCAACAAGTTTGGGACGGGCCTTGGGGGTGTGTGTGTGGGGGAGCTGTACCAGAGGAGCCATCGCACAGAATGATGCCAGCGTTCCTCTCCAGGGCATCTCGCCAGCTTTAATAACTGCGTCCTTCGATACGATTTGCCCGAGCAAACGGCGAGCGTTGGCCGGATCCAGCCGGACCACCAGCAAGAGAATTGAAAGTTCGACTTGTTCCTCCTCTCAATCTGAAAGAGGCTTTTAATTCTCTGCGCCCCTCCTCCTACCCCGTTCAGTTTGTTTTCTAGCTATAAACTCACTTCAACTCTCGGTTTCCATGTCGGTGGCCTGAGAATCGCAGTACTCGCCAAGTTCACTGAGAGGAAGAAAAAGATACCTTTGTGTACACAGTGAGAGCCACCGCGTGGCCGAGGACAGCCACGCGGAAGAAGGAAACATTTTGGTCTCGGGCTGATGAAAGCGGCCAGGGGGAGGGTTAAGTCGACCCGAAGGCGTGTTTGGTGGAGTGGCTTCGAAAGCGGCCGAGGCAGCCGAAGCCGCTTTCGAAGTTAGCAAACAAAGCGTCTCCCCAGTAACCGCCCGGCTCCAGACGAGGCTCCTGCCACTCAGACCGCGGAGTCGCAGCGTCGGCCGCCCGGGCTCCTCCTCCTGCGTCCCTCCTCCCCCTTCTCCCGGTCCCAACGGATGTGAGCCACCAATCCCAGCGACAAACAACCCTTCAAATGCGAGGTCGGAGCGGCCCTCTAACGGGCGGCCTCCACCCTCTCCCCGCCCCACATCTGTCCTGCGCTCGGGCGCAGCCGCTGATTCATCTCCAGCCAGGCCGGGGAAGGAACTGCGCTCCAGCAAGTTGCAGGGGAGCCTCCGGGCTGGTGGTTTCCCCCCGGACCGTGTTTTCCCCTTTGCCGTTTCAGATGTGTGTTCTCTTAGGTGCCGAGCAGTCGGCACACCACAGAAAAAAAAAAAAAATCGAAAGGTTGCCGCCTTCTTAGTGAGGCTTTTTCCCTGTATATTCACTTTAAGTCCTGTAATTGGAAAAACCACCCAAGCTTTGTAAACTCTGGCCTTAATTCACTTTAGGGGCGGGGGTGTCTTTTTTGGGAGGGTGAGTGGGTGGGAGGCTGGCTTTAATTTTCAGCGTGATCCTAAAACAGAGGCTCCAAAGTCTAGTTAGTCATCGTTTGGCTGCCTTATTCCTCCCCTGGTTGAACCTTATTTCCACGGAGCTTCTGCCGGATTCTCCATCGAGGTTACAAAACAAAAACAGCACAAACTGTGGGCAGACTCAGGCGCTGACGTCTCTACTAGGTTTATTTACGTTTAGGTGTGTGTATGTGTGTGTGTTTTTAAGTGATGGGGAAAGTCTTACTGTGGCATGTGACAGTTCGTTTACTTCAAAACAACAGGACAGACACACGCGAAAACTTCACCCGGAGGAGAGAGCGGGGAGGGGGCATGCGTTTCTTGAAATCAGCCCAACAGCCATCTGGTCTTTTAAAAGGGTAATTTCATCTAGGAACTCCTGTTGGAGCCCTCCTCTCAACCAAAATAAACCAACAGGAACATGTGTTTACTTAATGGTTAGTTCTGTTTGAAATTCCGGGATGTTGGGGAGAAGGGGTCCGCTAGCAGGATTTGAGTCCTAAAAGTAGACTCTATTTACTCAAACGGAAGAGCAGCCCCGGGTGTGGGAGCCCCCTTCCCATAAAGGCGGCAGCTGCCGGGGTCCGGGGGCGGGGGTGTCAGGCTGAGTCTCAGCGGGGCGGGCGCGCGTCCGCTCTGCGCCGTCCCCAGGCAGAGACTTTTAAAGAGCATGTGAGCATGACAAGTGTCTGTCCGCAACGTGTTAGATTTCGAAACTGCCTTGCAATCCAGTTCGGAACTCGCAGCTTTAGCCCGGGGGAACAGACTTTCGCCTGGGGTGTCTGTGTCTCATCCTCCCCTCCCGCCCCACATTGTCGCTGTTCGAGGAAGAGCTCCGGGAGAAGGGTGCGCCGCGCCGCGCCCGCATGTCAATGGCAGCCGTGCATTCTGGAAGAAGTTGGTTCTTGTCCCGAATACTTTTCCTACGGAGCCCCGCCCCTTGAATCAGCGGCGGCTGACTTCTACAGCCGCTGGAGCTGGGACGGTGGAGTTGGGGCAGCTGTCAAAAACGAAAGAGGAGACTTTTCTTCCCTGGGGTGGAGGAGAGGAAAGAGAGGGCGCCTTTTTTCCATCTGTTGCAATTTCATAACCAAACGCACCCTCGCCAGCCCCGGGAAGAAAGGCCCAAAGGAGAAACTCGGGGCACTCGGTCGGTGTCACCAACGCCGCGGAGCCAGGGACGCAGGAGGCGTGCGCATAGCTGGGAGAAGGGATCACGTTTCTGGGTTCGGCCGCCC